TCACCTATTGTTTTCGTCAGAATTTTCTTTCTTTATTATTTATTTATTCTTTATTTTTTATTTATTGTTCCCACTTTTTTGTTAACAGGATAACTCAAGATCGGTTCGATCAATTTCCTTCAATTTCGGCACAGTCATAGGTCATTGTCATGAGACGTGACAGTAACATTTTCAAGGTCATCAAATCTTCATGACGTCATCCAGGCGCCATTTTGTGTTTTTTTTTGGTACTTTTTACTCATGATCATATCTTCTTAACGGAAAATCATTTCTCATTCATATTTATCATGATTAAGGTCAATGTCCGTCCGGTCAATTTCAGGTCAAAAAATGCGCGCGCATGCGTACGTCCGCGTGTCAGCGCGCGCGCAAAAAATAAAAATGCTCCAAATCGTTTAAAATTAATTTTGCATACGTTTAAGGCCATTTTAAACGTTTCGCAAAAAAAAGCTCGCACGCGCGTGCGCGCGCGTTTTCGCGCGTACTGGTATTTGCCCACATAAAATCGCAAAATTTTCTCTGTCATCATATTGGCATTTTTTTCCAAGCATTTTGATACCTTGTTCACCTTTTTCTGCCCATTAATAACGGAATGAGCGTCCGTTTAAGATAATGTCCGTGCGTGCGAGCTCTTGTAATACATAGCATACATGGGCAAAAATATGCCTATACAAAATCCATTGTAGCGCTTTAGGATGCAAGATGAACCCAATTTTGTTTTCATATTTTGATAGAGTATGAATTGGAGATATGATCCCATGTCTCATTTGACCCTCAATTGACTCATGACGTCATCATAATGGCCTCCGAATTCAAAATTTCAATTTGCATATTATGACGTCATCATATTTTTGGAAAATTGATTGTATCTTTGTAAATATTGATCAATTTTCATCCAAATTTTGATATGTTTTAGCTTGGACAATTCTCTACAGATGCATTGACCACAAATTTCATTTAGACGAAAGCATCATGGCGTATTTTTGCGATTAAAGGAGGCATGTCAATTTTTTACATTTTGCGTGTATTCTCTAAGGGACATGACTTTTTCTGAAAACTGGATTCTACATTCCCTTCTTTCACGAGCAATATCTCCGTCGTTTTAGCTTCGTTTTCGCTGAGCATCGAGTATGTTGTAGCTGAGACAATAAGCTTTAACGAGTGTGCCATTTATTTCTCGATCAGATGCCGGGATCATGCTCATATTTCACTTGCAAAGTGGGATTTGAGAATTTCATTTTCCGTTTACGTGTAATCGCTATGGGATATGTTTTGGTATATCGGTAACGCACTTGACTTCGGACCTCGAGATCCCTGGTTCGAGTCCGGGAGTCTCCAACAATTTTTTTTCTTCATTTTTTTTTCTTTTTTGACTTTTCAATGATCATAAAATTGAAAACAGACCACCTAATTCGTCCCCATGACGAATTAAATTTCTAGTTTATTTATTCATTTATTTATTATTATATATTTTTCTTATTTCTAACCACTTTTTTGTTGGCAAGATAACTTGGAAATGGCTCGATCAAATGCCTTGAAATTTGGCACACATATGTATAGGCATATGTACAAAGCACAATAACGTTTTCAACATTATCCTTCACTGATGACGTCATCTAGGCGCCATTTTGTAAAATTTTACGAAAATCAACTCATGATCATATCTTCATAACCAAAAGGTATTTCTCATTCATATTTATTATGATCAAGGTCAATATCCGTCCGGTCAATTTCAGGTCAAATAACGCGCGCGTGCGCGTACGTCCGCGCGTAAATGCGCGCGCAAAATTTTAAAATGCTCAAAATCGTCTCAAAATCATTTTGCATACGTTTTAGGCCATTCTAAGCATTTTATAAAAAGTTGCTCACACGCGCATGCGCGCGCGTTTTCGCGCGTAAAACTTTTACACAACATAGAATCGCCATTTTTTTTCTTTCATAATATTCCACATATTTTTACAAACAAATTGATACCATGTTTGTCTCTTAATGACTATTAATAACGGAATGATCGACCGTTTAACATAAATTTCAGTGCGCGCGAGCTCCCGAATACATAGCATATATGGGCAAAAACATGCCTATACAAAATCCATTGTAGCTCTTTAGGCTGCAAGGTGACCCCAATTTTGTTTTCATATTTTGATAGAAAATAAATTGGAGATATGATTTCATGTTTCATTTGACCCTCAATTAACTCATGACGTCATCATAATGACCTCCGAACTCAAAATTTCAATTTGCATATTATGATGTCAGCATATTTTTTTTAAATTGACTGTATCTCTAAAAATATTGATCAATTTTCTTCCAAATTTTGATATGTTCTACCTGAGACAATGTTCTACAAATATGGCTGCCATAAATTTTCATTTTGACAAAGGCATCAGGACGTATTTGTGCGATTAAAGGAGGCATGTCAATTTTTCACTTTTTGCGTGTATTCTCTAAGGGACATGAGTTTTTCTCGAAACTGGATTCTACATTTCCGTCTTTCGCGAGCAATATCTCTGTCGTTTTAGCTTTGTTTACGCTGAACTTCGAGTATGTTGTAGCTGAGACAATACGCTATCTCAAATGTGCCCTTTATTTTGTCTTAAATTTTAGTTGGACCAGCCCACCTATACTTGTTTCAAACAAGTATTACAAATCTAGTATATTTTTCTTATTTCTAACCACTTTTTTGTTGGCAAGATAACTTGGAAATGGCTCTATCAAATGCCTAGAAATTTGGCACACATATGTATAGGCATATGTACAAAGCACAATAACGTTTTCAACATTGACCTTCACTGATGACGTCATCTAGGCGCCATTTTGTAAAATTTTACGAAAAACAACTCTTGATCATATCTTCATAACCAAAAGGTATTTCTCATTCATATTTATCATGATCAAGGTCAATATCTGTCCGGTCAATAAAAAGTCAAATAACGCGCGCGTGCGCGTACGTCCGCGCGTCAATGCGCGCGCAAAATTTTGAAATGCTCAAAATCATCTCAAAATCATTTTGCATACGTTTTAGGCCATTCTAAGCATTTTATAAAAAATTGCGCACACGCGCATGCGCGTGCTTTTTCGCGCGTAAAACTTTTGCACAACATTGAATTGCCTTTTTTTTTCTTTCATAATATTCCACATATATTTACAAACAAATTGATACCACGTTTGTTTCTTTATGACTATTAATAACGGATTGATCGACCGTTTAACAAAAATTTCCGTGCGCGCGAGCTCTTGTAATACATAGCAAATATGGGCAAAAACATGCCTATACAAAATCCATTGTAGCTCTTAAGGATGCAAGGTGACCCCAATTTGTTTTCATATTTTAATAGAGTATGATTCGGAGATATTGTTTCATGTCTCATTTGACCCTCAATTAACTCATGACGTCATCACAATGGCCTCCGAACTCAAAATTCCAATTTGCATATTATGACGTCAGCATATTTATGGAAAATTGATTGTATCTCTGTAAATATTGATCGAATTTCTTCCAAATTTTGATATGTTTTAGCTGAAACAATTTGTAACAAATGCTGTATTTCACGATATTTCATTTTGACAAAAGCATCATGACGTATTTTTGCAATTAAAGGAGGCATGTCAATTTTTCTAATTTTGCGTGTATTCTCTATGGGACATGACTTTTTCTCAAAACTTGATTCTACATTCCCGTCTTTCGCGAGCAATATCTACGTCGTTTTAGGTTCATTTACGCTGAACTTCGAGTATGTTGTAGCTGAGACAAAAAGCCATCTCAAATGTATCCTTCATTTTGTCTCAATTTTGTGTTGGATCAGCCCACCTATACTTGTTCCAAACAAGTATTACAAATCTAGTTTTACTTTGTAAACTCTAGGTAATTCAGCCCTTTGGCTACCTTGTGGATTTTTGAAAATAAATACCATTTCAATTCGATATTATTCACCATCAACATCATCATCTTCGTCATCAAAGGCATAGATTGCGTTATGACCTCTGCGAATCAAGCCTATTATAATGAGGCCTGACGTCGAGCTGTGTCAGTGACTTGTGGGGTCTGTGACGCGCAATGTGATGGTCAATGGTACAAAAAATAATTGCTAAATCAACAATTCACACACTAGTACTGCGATAAATTTCTGGCGTATAGACTAAACTCCTCGAGAGGTTCCAAACTTACGCATCGTGTACAAGATGCATTATATCACATCCATACCCCCTTCTCCCACAGCATGTCTCTGCAATCCTTGCTTCAATGGAGGGTCATGCCATGAAACCTTTGAAGGATTTGCTTGTTCATGTCCAGACGGATATAGCGGCAACAGTTGCGAAACATGTAAGTTCCTTTTCTTTTCATTCCCTGAATCAGGAACTTTCCATGCAGGGGCATAGGCTTCTTTGTGTGTGTGTGTGTGTGTGTGTGTGCGTGTTTGCGTGTGTCTGTGTGTGTGTGCGTGCGTGTGTGTGTGGGGATGGGTCCTACGAAATCTGCCAGCAAGCCAAAAGGATGCTCTTATTAAATCTTAGTTTTCAGACAGAATTGTCTTAAAGAATATTAAAGGTGGTGTTTGGAGAGGACGTTCGCCTGGATAATAAATACCTCTGGTCACTGAGTTTCCAGCCCGCATACTGAAATAAGCACCATCCATAACAATTGTCAACGAGAGTATTCCTATCCTAATCGTCACTGTTCTCATTGATATATTACAGACTTTTAGATTTGCCTTAATAGGACTCACACCTAGCAGTCCACGTTCTCATCGTGCAAATCTAAAAGTCCCTATTAATACCCGAATACATGCACCCATCCAGAACAATGACAATAGTGCGCCATACCGGTATAATAGGGTAGTATATTCAAGAAGGTAAAATTGGGTAGTTTATGTTTAACCAAGAAGAACTACAGGTCGCAAGTGGACCATTGAGATAAAAAAAAAAATTGCTCTTCGATTTAAAACCACTATATGAAGTACACTTCGACTTCTTCTTTATACGCTACATCTTATTTTCTTTAATTCAGTTTCTGTGATCCTATCTGTAAGTTTCTATGGATCTGATCATAGTACCAGCGAAGGGAGTGTGGGCTTCACCAGCCATGATTCTCCATCCCAAGTTAAACTATTTACAAATGAGGCCTGGTCCATGAATACGTCCCATCTGGTCTGCCAGCACCTTGGGTATAGTCGGGGAGCCTATGCTACACTGAGCGGCAATGTGTACAACACTACTGATTCCAACGCCAGTCTAGAGTACGGTGCTATACGGTGTGATCAGGATGCGAGGAACATATCAGAATGCTGGTACGAATCCAGACCAAGGGATGGTGTAAGCAGTGATATGATCATTGCAGTGGTTTGCTGTACATGTGAGTATTATGCTTCATAGCTGATGCACACGAGGCGTTATATTCGGATTGTGTCACTTGCTATCCGAATCACACCTTCTCCTCCTCCACCTTCTTCTTCCTCTTATCCTTCATCATCATCATCATCATTCTTCATCATCTTCTTTTCCTTTTTCGAATCTTCTTTTTTTATAAACCGGATCCTATCTACATGTACATAGAAAAAGATTTCTCTCTCTTTTCAAAACGCGTTTTGTTAATTCGTTTCAGGTTTCCTGATTGAGTATTGCTTTAATATCGAACAAGCCCATTTTTACTGCATCTAGCAGCTCTACAGTCTTTTCAGTTGTTTAACTGTCGAAGTTGCAATATATACTTTGTTAAAGTTCGTTCGACATGAAACTGACTTTATTGATTTACGATAAGTATATAACTTAACAAATATATTTGCATATCTTGGTGAGCCCCTCAACTTCCGTATATCACTTTAATTGTATAATTCATTCATGTATTCTGTCCAATTACAAACAGTACATTGTTAATTGGTGTTACACAAAATGTAAAGAAATATTTGGCATGATATTATTCTCCACACAATGTGCGTACAGCTCTTGTATGCGGACCTAAAGGGGAGTCTCTGGGGATTAGTTCCGGCATTATTCCCGATTCGGCCATTACTAAATCAAGTTGTGATGCATCGCTTGATTGTGACTGCACCGCAGGGCGCCTACACTCCAACGCGACCTGGATACCGGCTACAAACGACTACACCAGCCCTTGGATTCAGATCTCTTTGGAATCTTTGCACTTGGTCACCGGGTTTGTCACCCAGAGTCACCATTCCTTGGATAAGGGTATTACTTCGTATACAATATCATTCAGTTTGGATACCGACACCTGGCTACCCTACAGGGATGTTTACACGTATTCTAATTCTACGGTAGGCGAATATTAATTAAGTTGAAGTTGGATGGGGGGGGGGGTTGACAATATTGTAAAGACTTTCGAGAAATCAGCACACGGGCAACAATCTTAACACCGGCCCTATTGTAAGTTCCTGCAGAAATCGTCTTTGAATTACGTAATAGTCCACGTAATGTTCACACACTGGAATAGGTGATTTATCTGCATGGCCATTGAATTATCTAGTACTGACTGTTCGAAAATCTCTGCGTCCGATTTTGTTTTTCTTTCATTTCACGGATGATTAACCGTTTTTGAAATTCTTTACCTGCTTTAAAGTAGATATTCATTGATTTTAAAAACTAACTTTATTTTCATTATTGCAAAGTTGAAACTTTGACCCCACAAGGTTATCAAACTTCAATGCTCGGAAACATTCGAAGTAGTGATTATTATAAATTACAAAACGCTTAAATACAGAGCTCTCCGAACGCTAGGCTGCTGAGATGTGTGACATCACAGGATGGACATGATTTGCACAAGCAGACGATGTCCCATGACATCTCACACATTTTCAGTGCCTGTTTTTTCAACTTCTCTTGAGTTCTTTCTCTTACTTCACTACCGTCAGGCTAAATGTATAATCTATGGCCTCACTCCAAACCCCGCGGTTGGTTTAATTTTAATGACAAATTCAGCGATACAAAAATAAAGGGATCTGTCGCTTGTAAACAAAATCAGACGCCATTGTATTTTCAGCTGCACACACCGCGGTATGTTTGGCGTTTCAAGAGTGAACAAATGCCGTCCTTAATATCATTCCGGGGGGTTTTCAATTTGAAAGTCGGGTTTCTTTGATTGTTAATTAACCCCTATCCTGTGTATTTACAAACAAAATATTTTAGTTATCAGAATCGGTTTCATATCATCTTTTGAATGGTTTGAAATGCCATCACATTATATACACTAAACTCATTATAATTTGAGGAATAATAGCTTTGCAATTATGTTTATTCTTTATGGGATATCGTCTGCTAGGGCAGTATTGGTGTATTATGTGACGCCATTAAAACGTCGTTATTTTTCTGGCGAATCTCTCATATATCCCAGATGCTATGGAGGTGGTCTTATTTGTATTTTTATAAATCACACCATGTGTAGTTGACCTAAAACTTGTACGATGGCCATTGTTAGCTTACCAGTTTCTAGTGATGCATTAGTTGACATATTTGTGATTTTCTTCGAATGTCCACTTTAAAAAAAAATCCAAGGTGGTAGTCCGGTTGAAGAGTTGATTAGCCCATAAATACTGAATTGAAAATATGTTTTTAATATTCAAATATGAACACTCTGGTGTTTTACTTCACTTATAGACTTTTAATTTGCACGTTATCGTTTCCTTCTAGACCACCTTACAAAATTAATCAATCCAAACATTTCTTCCAAATGCAAGAATCAAAAGGGCCAATTAGGATTTATTCATTTATGGTAGCATTTGCTGTAATCCGTGGTTTGTTGAACAAACCATAGTTCATAATTCCATTTAAAGTCGTTTTTAAGACACCGTAGATTCGGGAGTCAGAAGAAGCAAGTTTAAAATCGCTAACTTTTTCGGTCTTCAAAGATACCGTATTACGCTACTTGACAGAATACAGAAGTAGAAGTCACAGCAGTTGCCGAGAGACGAATCATTTACTTGTGGCTCCAGATTGTTGACTAGGAAATTTGTATACAATAAAATATCCTGTTTCAAGTGGCAATCTGAGTAGTTATAGCAGTGAGTACCGGGACGGCCATAGGTTTTGTACACGAATTTTTTCGTACTTATACTATTTCTAATTGACTCGTGTACATTAACTTTGACATAGTCTATTTTCGAGTAAAAACGGACTTATAACACGCGTGTCTATGGGGTTTTGACGAGGTCCTGACTTTTTGAATTTAATTAGGGATTTGTCATTTTGGACTTGTAAATTTTTTCGATAAAAACTGACTTATAACACGCGTGTCAATGGGATTGTGACTTTATGAATTTTACTTAGTGATTTTCTCTGTTGGACTTAGTTTTTTTTCAAGCAAAAAGTGAATTACAACACGTGTTTCTATGTGAATTTTGACATTTTGAATTTTACTTAGAGATCTTTAGGAATTATTGACGTTTTGAATAGTGGATAGGTATTTTATTTGTGGAACTGACTTTTAACACGAGTGTCTATGTAATTTTGACTTTTTGACTTTCTTTCTACCGGGATAATTTGTGTTTTACTTTCTAAGGAACGTTTACAACGCCGTTGTATAGGTTGGATCAATATCTATTGTTCGATCAACTAAATAAAGGAACGTGTATTTACCCTTCTTCTCCCCTTGCAAACGAGAAAGAAAACAAGGTCATTAAAAGGGATTAAGCGACAAATAATGATTGTGATTCAAATTGATGCGAACATTTTTTTGAATAAGCACTGCTATTCACCCGAATCTTCTTTGTAAAAACAACTTTTACAAATCTCAGCCATGCTTACTGAGTTGAGACGTTCCATTCAATGTAAAACATATTGACTTTGTATAGGTCTAGTTTCTTTTGTATTTGAATTACCTCTTTTCAACAATAGAACCGTTGTTTCTTATTGATCGTGTATTGAGTTTATGAACCTCTCAACAGCCTTTCGACAAATGAAGCTCGTTTTATTCCGCCCTGTTCGTACCGTCGAGTTCTTTGGACTTTCACACAACACTTTGATACTTATAGTTCAGGGTTATGTTTGGACTCTCTCAAAACATCATCAAAATAGATTTGAATACACAGATAACAATTGCAATTTAGTCATGTTACTAGAGAACAGAGATAAAATATACAAAACATTTTTAACTAGAGAAATAGAACCCAAGTCACATTATTGTATTTTTTCATCGGTAAACAAAAAGTTAACACAATTGTACAGCAAACATACACGCCGTAAATCCGTAGTTTAACGTCGTAACATGCCGTAACGCCGTATATAACGCCGTAACGCCGTATCGTTATATCCACAACGCATTTGACGGATCATTCATCTCTATGCTAAATCACCAAGTTTTCTAGAGCACCCACTCTCTTGTTGAGGTTTAACACTCTATTATTAACTCCGTAACTCTATTTCATACTTTCACCATCTCGACTCTATTTCAATCTCGACTCTATTTCCATACTTTCAACATCTCGACTCTATTTCACACTTTCACCATTTCGACTCTATTTCACACGTTCACCATCTCGACTTTATTCCATACTTTCATTAATCTCGACTCTATTTCCATACTTTCACCATCTCGACTCTATTTCCATACTTTCAACATCTCGACTCTATTTCATACTTTCACCATCTCGACTCTATTCATTCTGGACATACTTTGTATGTTGTACGACTATTGTGACGTAGAATACACACATCCATGAAATAAAACACTATGTAGTACATAATTATATTTTACTTTATTTTACTATATTTGTTTCCGTTTCAATGTGGACAACTTTATGCAAAACCAGGGCCCCGTCTTACAAAGAGTTACGATCGATCCAAATCAATCGTAAATCCTCCAATCAATCGCAAGTTTGCAGTCTCCTATCTCTTATGTACATAGTTACGATTGATATCAATCGCAAATAAGTTACGATTGATATCAACTCTTTGTAAGACGGGGCCCTGATTTGAATACAAAGATAAGAATTGCTATTTAGTCATGTTACTAGGGAACAGAGATAAAATATACAAAACATTTCTAACTAGAGAAATAGAACCCAAGTCAGATTATTGTATTACTTCATCGTGAATATGTAAAAACTGTTAACATAATTGTACAACAAACAATTAGTGTTTATAAATAAATATCTTTAAAACATAAAACACAATAGAAAGTGTTTTTTTTTCTCAGAAAGGTTGATTGATGTACAACATGTTGAAATAGAGTAAATTTGTCATCTATTATTAGGGTTGTCTACGAAGTGTTCTTTTTCAGGGTGATGTCAAGCCTTAGTTGTCGCTTCCATCTGCACCCTCCGTCTCCGTCTCTTCTTCACTATCATCGTCATTCTCATCCTGATACTGGAATAACCCCTCGAATTGTGCACCGTGTCTTGCTAAGACTCTTTTCACGGCTTTCCGAAGATTCATGCCATTTTCTACTTTTTCCGTGAGATCAGACATAATTTCATCATTGATGTCAGCGCTTCCAAGGTACACATTCTGCTGCAAGAAGTTGGAGTAAAGATCGAAAAAGCTGCGTTTGACAGCCCATAGAACTTTCACGTGAGCCTTTTCTTTAGCTTCTTCTTCATCCATACCATCGGAGATATATTTTTGATATTTTTCGTCCCTGAGGTCCTCGGTGTTTGCCATGGCCTGTTCTAACCATTCTTGATAAGCAGGGTTGTCCTCAGGTTCTTTCATGTCAGGTGTCTCTGACTTTGACGATTCATCCTCTCCTTCACTTTCTGAATCACTTGTTTCAGATTCATCGCTAGATTCTACAACTCTTTGCTTTTTAGAGGGTGGTTCGGAGTAATCATCTTCACTAGTTTCTTCACCAGCGTTGGAATTTTCAGTCTCGTACCCATGGTCTTTCATATCAGGATGTACATTCTGTGCGTGCCTCTTCATGTCGAACTTGCGACTATAGGTCTTATCGCATAGTGAAAAAGCGTAACGCTTGGACATATCGAAAGTGTTCGTGTTGACTCGTTGATGTTTAACTCGGATTTGATTCAAAGAAAATTGAATCTGTATAATTATAGTTTTTCATTTGATATATTTTGTTATTTGATACGTAACGCCGTAGATAACGTCGTAAATCCGTAATGTAACGCCGTAAATCCGCAGTTAAGCGCCGTAACATTCCGTAACACCGCAATGTAACGCCACAACGCCGTATCGTATTATACACAACGCATTTGACGGATCATTCAGCTTTATGCTTCATCACCAACTTTTCTAGAGCACCCACTCTCTATTTATGGTCTAACATTCTATTATTAACTATTATTCATCTCAGCTTCATGATCAATCATTATTTTTTTTT